GTGGGAGAGAGCATCAGCTAAATAGTTCGTTCTTCCAGGGGTATAGATGATTTTTGCATCGTATTTGCTGATCTCACCTATCCATCTCGTTCTTCTTCTTCCCGGTATTCTTTCTGTTTTAAGATTAGTGAGAGGTTGGTGGTCGGTGACAATAGTGAAGGCATTGCCCATCAGGATGTGGTTGAAAGCGGCGAGAGCATCAATCACAGCAAGGGCTTCCTTGTCTGTTGTTCCATAGTTCATCTGTGAGTTAGTGAACTTCCTGCTGTGTAATGCCGCCGGCCTTGCCGTTTCATGGGAGGCCCCTTGCCCAACCCATGCTCCAACTCCAACATCCAATGCATCAGTAATCAGCCATATCGGTTCTGGTTTACTATAGTCGATAGGTTGAATAACATTGGCGTTTTTAATCAATTCCTTGATGTTGGTAAAGGCTTGGTCATGAGTGTGGGTCCAGACAAATTCTGCATTGCCGGTAAGATCTGTGAGCGGCGCTGTCACAGTGGCGTGGTGTGGGAGGAACTGGGAAATATAGTTGACTAGTCCTAGGAATCGCATGAGTTCCTTTTGATTTCGGAGTGTTGACCATTCCGTTAAACATGCTATTTTTCCAGGGGCTGCATGTATTCCTTCATCATCTATAACATGTCCTAGGATATCAAGTTTATTGGCAAACAGAATTGATTTGTTTCTGCTAGCATAGAATTTAGCTTCCCTTAGTTTGGTACAAACCAATCCTATATGGTAGGCATGTTCTATTTCGGTGTTCGAGAAGATGAGAATATCATCAATGTAGACCCAAAAAAAATGGTGGAGGTATTCGCTTAGGAGGTTTTCCATAATTTGCATAAAGGTGGCGGGCGCATTCATATTACCTTGTAACATAACTCAGCTAAGGAAACTTCCGAAGGGTGTTTTGAAACTGTTGTAGTGTTCGCTTTCTGGATCTAACCTTGTTTGGAAGTAGGCATCGCTTAGATCAATCTTACTTCGGAATCTAGCCCGTCCAACTGCATTTAGGATCTGGGTTTCGTTTAGGATAGCGGAGCTGTCCATAACCGTGTTTTCGTTCCGTAGCTTGAGATCAACCAAGGGGCGGATTCTTTTACCATCTGCTTTGGGTTGACCAAACATAGGAGCGGCACCTGGGGCTTCTGCCCGGTAGATGACTCCTCTTCTTTGTTGTTGGTTGATCCAATCACAAAGTGGGCTTTTGTATGCGTCAGGAATAGAGTAGGTGGGTTGGTTCTTGAGATTGGAGGGGTCTCGGAGGCGGATGTGGTGGTTCACCTCTCTCATAGGTGGTAGTTCTTCGGGTATTTGATCAGGGAAAACATCAGAGTACTCATCCAATAGTCGTAGGGCAGTTGCTTCACAGACTGCGGCTCGGTACTCTCCGCTTGTTGGCTTGCATGAGACTCTAACCTTCTGCTCTGGGAAATCGATAGTTGATTCCCCACACCTGATTATTGCTTTGTGGCGGTTCAGGAATGGCATGCCTATTAGGGTATTGTATTTGGCTAGGTTTCCAATCAGCATTTCCTGGGGGGGTAGTATAGCAGAACCAAGTCGAATAGTCGCAGAACAGGTTTCATGGCTTGTGGATTGTGATCTCTTTACTGCCATATTGACTGGTATGGGTTGGTTAAGGTCTCGGGTTGGGAGTCCATGGACAGAGACAAAGGCATTACTGATCATATCTCTTCCAATTGCGCCAGTGTCGAATAGGACTCGAGCCCTTTTGCCATTGATCATGATAGTACCTTCCAGAGCAGTGTGTGCTTTGAATGTAGCCGGAGGTCGAACATTGTTGCATTCCACATCGATATATCCGATATGGATCTCTTCATATTCACTGGATTTGGCGTTATCGCTTTCAACATTGTTGGCCGATGCCTCTTGCTTAATTGCCTTTCCTTTTCCTTTCTTCGTAGGACAGTTCTTTGCCATGTGTCCTGTTTTTCCGCATTCAAAACATTCTCCTTTTTTTCGTCTCGATTCTTTGGAGGATTTTGTTTTCTTCTTGAAAACCCGTGGGGTATCATCTTCAGATTTGCTGGAGGCTTTGTGTCGTGGCTGGCTGATCCTACTAGAGGATGTCTGTGTTTTGTAGGCCTTGGTCTCATGGAGAATGGCGTCCTTTCGTTCTGCTCTTGCAATTATTACTGCAATATCATCGCCATCTTCCTCAAGTGGTTCTACTTCTCGCCGGAGGGTAGGGTGCATGGTGTTATAGAATCGTCGCTTCAGGATGTATTTGGAGATACTTCCTCTCTCCATCCGGTCCTTATACATCATTAGGTCTGTAGCCACATCGGTGATTCGCTTGACATGCATTCTGTTAACTTGCTGGAGTTGGTTGAATTTGTTGTATAGGAGGTCGTTGGTTATAGAGGATTGAAATCGTCCTTTCAGGTAATCGATAACTGTAGTTCCTCTTAATCTTACATTCCCGCCGAAATCCTTATAGCATTGGTAGTATGTATCGGTTGCCTTTCCTTCGCAGAATGATCCAATGATAAGTCCGGTTGTAGGGTCTTCCACATCTTTTCCTTGTAAGAGTAGGAAGTGTGAGAGTTCTGTTGCCCATCGGTCAAAGGCTTCAGGTTTGAGGTCTTTCCCTTCTCCTGTGAACTTCGCTGGGAGGTGGAGTTTAAACTTAGGGGGTTCAAATGCTGCGGGTACCTCCTCTTCTTCAGGCCTTGCCCGAGATTTCCCTCCTCCAGAAGGCCCTCCTCCTGTGCTAGCCATATCCGATTCGCTACTAGATTGGGGGTCGTTTGGAGGTTCAAAGGAAGGCTTTTTTGCTGGAATAGAAGGGAATTCTCCTGGAGGTTGTGTATCTTCCGTGTTTGCAGGATCGCCCGGCTCTTTAGCAGAGCGCCGGAGTTGTTTCTTTCTTGTAAGGTCTTGCCGTGGGATTTGCTTCCCACTCCTGGTCGTCAAAGACTCTATCTTGGGTTTAAGATGAAGCCGAATGTGCTGTGATTCTGCCGCTTCTCTCCGCTAGCGTTCTGAGGTGGATATCGATAGGTTGATCAGGCCTAAATCCAGGGACAGGTTCTTAACCACTTGCTGAGGTTAAAAAAATGTAACGTGTTCGCAAGGTGCTAATCACGTTATCGGTAAAGATACGATAGTTGGCAGGTGGCCTGCTCTTCCGGAGAGAAGGCGAGAGCTGAGATCAAACGGAGGCTTCGAGGGTGTACTGAGGAACAAAGAAGTAACCGTTCAACCAAGTATATTGAAATACTGTCTATCGAAGTCTGCCTTTTCTGTCATAGAAACAGGCGGTCTTTAAATACACAAATCTGTTCATGTCTAGCATGAACGAAACTAATCAAAGGTATCAATTGATACTCTTTGGTAAAACTCCTTAAGTATCAAAGCGATACTTAAAACAAAACATAAAACAAAACCAAGTATCAAACGATACTTAAAACAAACCAAGTATCAAAGCGATACTTAAAACAAAACATAAAACAAAACCAATAACCAAGTACCCGTACCGGTTACACCGCTCGAGTATTGCACCGTCTCAGGTAACGATACTTGGGTTTCCGGTACCCCGCTTTCCACATCATCCTTCCTGATGATGAATCTTTGAGAGTCTGGTAATCCCCTCCTCTTCTTCTTCCTGGTGCTCTGCTCACCCTCCTCCTCCGCCGATCTCTCCCTTCTGTTAGTCCATGGGGTCGAATTTCCACTTACCTCCTCTGCATGCTTGCTATCCCTCAAATCTCTCCTCTTGCTTGTTTGCCCCCCCCCCAGGTTCATATCCGTGTCTGGGACGTAGTCCTCATCCCTCTCATCATCCGACTTGTACTTCTTGTACAACTCCCGGTGTCCCGATGATAGTTCCCCTATCATGTCCCTATCCGTCTCCATCGTTTCCATCCCTGACGACTCCTCCGTCACTGAAACCATTCCCAGCACATATGTTGAGTCTGGTGAAGTATCCTCGAAGAAAATTCCTACTGAATTTCCCTTGTCCACCTTGCAACCATCACACCCCGCCATCGCTAGCACCATTCTTATTGCCACCTTCAACTCCGAAATCGATCTCGCTCCTGCCTCATTAATGTAGTCCCGTAATTTTTCATCACTCACCTTCTTTTCACACCCCCTCCCGTGCACAAATTCCAACCCAATACCCCTCGGTACCACGTACGAGGTGACCAGCATCCTCCTTAGTAGTACTTGTTCCCTTACCCCTTCCATTCCCTCACTATTCATCCCACCAGGTCCTTTCCCGAAAACGTGAAGCTTTCCGAAATTCTCACGATAGTCAGTCCAACCAATTAAAAATTTTCACTCACCAATCAAAATATGCCACAACAAGACTCCGGTCCAAATCAAAATAATTTCTCGAGTCGTTTGTGAAGGTCAATGGGAATTACCGTACTCAGCCCTCGACAAGCTTAGCCGAGAACTCGAAGGTTAAAAGAGTAACATAAATTACTAGTTAAATTGATGGGATCTACAAGTAGACTACCAAGTTCAGCTCGACAAAGCTGCACCGCGTCTAGAAAGCACTATTCCTTCTCGGGATGCTTTGTCCGAGATCAGCGATGGTGGATCTATCGAGAGTTTACTGTACGGTACCGGTACCGTATTGCATGCGATCTCCTTCATCCGGTAAGGTACGATAATTTCGGCTTTTTCCCCCCGGAAAAGAGGTACTTATTGCATCCATTTACTTCGTCCAGGGGGGGACACAGTGCAGAGGACACTAAAGAGATATAGGTTCTCCATTGTTCAAAATATTAGATTTCAATAATATTACTCTGACAGTCCAACTGCCACATTAATTATTACATATTATCCCTGTTTCACCCGCTTCTGCCTCTGATATCCCCGCGCAGAGGGCCTTCGGCTTTCTATACAGTGCGCTGTTTCCTCCGAAATCCCTAGGGAATTCTCCTGAACGGGATTCCCATATCATACACCTTGAAGGCATCACCAGCATTGACATCTAGTCTCATGAGCAGTCCATAGCCTTATATCCACGCATACACCACAAGGCTAGCAACGGATAGACCAAGGACGGTCGCCTTGGAGATGGCCGTTATTGAGCCCGCGGACTTTTTAACACCCGGCTCTCCCGCAGAGCCTGTGCATTTCTCTACAGGTGGAATCTGAATACTATTTAGTACAGAGAAGTGCAAGAGTTGAAAAATGTGCAACGTACCTTCTCCAGATAGTGGATGACGCCATTCTTGGCAATAACATTAGCCTTGGTGATCCGGACGCCATTGACAAGGATATCATTGCCCTTTCGTGTAACGCGCAACGAGCCCTCACCCCTCGTCTGCAAGCAAAGGCCGTCACTCATATCAGGCTCGTACGAAAGGCCATCGTGGACCATCCGGTTTAGATCGGCCGACGCTGGCAGGTTTGCTTGATCCAAATTGGAGTCCTGCACGGCGAAGATTGTCACCATCCGCTTTTCCGACAGCTCTTTCAAGAGATTCGCATTCTGCAGCGCTGTGGACCATAAGCGGCCCTGGGTGTCTGCAAAAGCGGTCTCAAGCGCGTGTGGAAGGGTAAAGAACCTTTGATAATTATTAGTTCACTTGTTTTTCATACGAGCGTAGAGTGGTGCGCTTACCCATCACACTTCTTGATAACACCACCCTCAAAAGGTATCTCTTCGGCATGCACCAATGTCGAATTTCCAAATCCGGAGATGATGTGAACCGTACCATTCTCACTGGTCACAGGATTTGAGACCACGCGAGCTCCTTCACCGGCCCCGAGGTCAACGTATTTGGTTTCTCCTACCAAGGTGGTCTTGAGGGTGCTCGGCACGCGCTTGATATCCGGAGCGCCCTTGGGCTTCTCTGCGAACTGCTGGCTGGTGTTAGGGTCGACGAGCACCTTGCGGCGGGCAAGCCTCCGTGGATCGTCCTGCAGGTACTTGAGGAATTCTAGAACGAACTGGGCGGTGGGCGCGAAAATGTAGTATTCCTTCTTTTCCTCGAGTCCTTCAAAGACGGCTGGCGCTTGCGATAAAAGGTCTCCGAAAGGTTTGGTTTGGGGGTCCTTCGCGAGTGCTGCAAGCACGGCAGCTTTATAGCTACTTGGGGCAGGCTTGTGATTGGCGACTGTTTGGAGCGGGAGCACTTCGCCGGTGTATGCCAAGGTGACAGGATTGTTGGAGATGGTGGCTGTAATGGAGCCATGGGTGGTGGTCACTGGTGCTGCTTCCTTGGGCGCCACTGAGTCTTCGTCGACCGTGGGGAAAGACGTGGGCTCTGGGCGCTTAGTGGAAGGTCGGTTGGACAACGTTTTTCTCTCATTGGAGCTCGAGGATCGGTCTGCGTTGGGACTTAAAGACCGGTTTGTGTTGGAGCTTGAGGGATTGCTTGCACTAGAACTTGAGGATCGGCTCACAGAAGATGTTCTCGTCGCGGATGGAAATCGGGTGGGCCTTGAGAAGCCAGCGGGAATTTGAAGACCACTATTGCGGGCACATGTTTCGGGATCCAATTCGTTAGGGCAGCACAAACCGTTGAAGAGACAGTACGTTCCCGGTATACACCCTACTGTCGTTAATTATCATTCATTGAACTCAGCAGGTATCTGACATACTATAGCTGGCGCTGGCGTTACAGCAAGTAGCCCCATTCTGGATATCATAACAAACATTACCGCATCTGGCCCAGCCATTGATCTGACAGCCGCCGTTCAAAGTACTTGTCAATGGCGGTCTGAACGCAGTAGTCGTCGCGGCGTTTTGACGAACAAGGACACGGGTGATATCTGCTTGCTTGTCGTCAGGGTGGGCATTGCCCATATAGATAGTGAGGGAGAGTAAGATGATTGATTTCAACATTTTAGATTGGTGTAAGATTCAAGTTCAAACTAGGGAATCGTGAATAATAGCAAGGCGAACACAAGAAGAGGGATGGACTGAGAAATGCAACGTGAGGGTCCTACCTTTATACTTGTATCTAAACAGTGGGATGTATATCAATGTATATATTGGTACCTAGATACGGAGATCATTTACCATCTATATCTTCAATCCCTGTTCCCAGCTGCATTTGCTCTGGAAAAGCACCATCTGAATCAAAACATAGTATATACGGTAGGTGGGAAATCACACTCAATCCTTGTGCCAGTAAGCCTTAATATTTTGACAGAACTAGCTAGCGTTCATTCCACAACATGTTTGTTATGCGAATGTGCCGCCACTCGCCCCGAGGCGGGGGAAGTGGTCGTGAGTGGGGGAGAGTCGTGCGGATCAGGAGAGAAAATTTTCCGAACTTTTGATGAGAGTGATTCAGTTGCCTTGTTCCACTGTGCTTTGCGCATACCCCTGGTACCTGGGCTAGCACCTGCTGTGTTACCGGAGAGAAACCTAGAACAGACGAAAGCAGTTAAATATCCGCTCTAAGAAGGAGAGGGAGGGTCGGCGAATGGTGCATAGCGACACAAGACGCCTGTTTCAATTTGCCCTGGTAATAACTGTATAATCAATGTGCCTACCAGTATCCACAATTCCGGAGTCAGTGTGTTACTGTAAGAAGTTGGCCCCGGAAACCTTACTCGGACAACCACTACTCGTACAAGTAATATAGAAACTTGAAATAACCGAGCCACGCCGTATGTCATTGGGCTTTGCACGATCAGCAAGGATTGGCAATCCTGTTATTTTGTCTCGGAGGAGGGAGTGTGCTTTTACTCAACTTCCAACCCCCTAAGTGGAGGCGGGGGGGAAAGAAACCTTACTGTAAAAGGCAAACATTATCTATTCTACAGTATTCACTCTCTAAATCTACAATCTGGGATCTGGCCCGGATCCCCCCCGATCAGGGGCAGAACACACGGAAGAAATAGCGTCATCCAGATGGAGCCCAGTTCGGGATCCCCGATGATGGATCTAACAAGTAAATATGATATCAAAACAAGAGTTTTAGGGGCACAAAAATAATATATCCGGAAAGAGTCAAGTGCCGAATCTCGGTCCACCCTTTTCTCTTTTTTCCAACAGAGAAAACCCTGTTTGAAAAGCCGATTACACTTCGGAGCTGCGATCCCTCTAGCAAAGCGAAAGGAAGAGTAAAATAAGAGCCATAGAGACTCAGTCACGGCACTTGTACAAGCACTCCCTTATTTACAATATCCTAGTCAATCAAGTACCCCACCCCCGTGCCCCTAATGGTGGTGGACAACATTTGGCGCCGGAAAGTTTTCCAATGAGTCGTGAAGATACTGTACTGTAGTACAAGTACGTATTGTCATGGTTTGGTTCTTTGGCGAGTCAGCTGGGCTCGAGGAAAAACTGATGTTGAAGGGGGGAGCCGCGTTACCAGGGTGGTTTGCAATCCGTGGGTCGCAATGACGCGCAGTGCTCGCTGTAAGTTACTGCATACCCGCGAGTAAAAAACCAAACTGGGCAGGTGCCCATCAGGGATCAACTGCCGTAGGCTCTACAACACCCCCGTCCGTCACCCACCCGCGCAGTTTTGCCGCGGTACGGCGAAGACTAGGGCCCGGTGGCGCACTCGAGATTTCAAATAATTCCAAGAGCAGATTATGAATTGATGATACAAAGTAGGGATGGCCGATGCCTTGTTTGCTGTAGATAGCATACCAGTAGGGAGGTATGATATTCTACTCCTGAAGCAGAACTCTCGCCGACTAGAGGGAATAAGGATTGGTTCCAACAGATGGTGGTATAGCGCCTAAATTTTGTTTCCCGGCATTTTACTAGCCAGGACTGTTCGAGTACCGGTAACAGGGAGTCAGGGGGTGAATCTGGTACCGTAGCCACCATATCCAGTTCCATACTTTTACCCCTGCTCACCGAACACTCCTTGCTAAGAAGATATAGAAAACCTGGGCACTGTACCTGCGCACGCAAGGCTAGAAGGGGTGCAAAAAATTTCTTGCTCTTTTAAGGCGCCCAATGGGGGAGGGGTGTTGACATCTCCTCAGCCATCGTGCATCGTACCACAGTGTTCTTAACGCAAAATATTCATCAGCTCACTTGGTTAACCAATCTGTTGGCCTGTCGATCTTCCCAGTCCAGCCGCCTTCAAATCTTGACCGGCATTACTTGTATCACTCGATCGCTGGTCACGCACGAAAAGAAAAATGGGCCAGAATGCCTGTTGAAAGCCACCTGAGCGCTAGTGCTTCCCTGCGGGCACATTGACTCACGGTCGGACTGGCGGTACCGCACTCGGAGTACATAATAGTTTAGCTCACCTAGTTACAGTACTACCGTATACTCGTACATCCTATGGTGAAAGGAGATTAAGGAAAGTGATGAAAGAGGCTCTGGGGGCTTTGATTGGAGTCTTGGTGTGCTGCGGGCTAATTGAGGAACCGTGTTTCTGGCAATCCACATCCAAGTTTTCCGATATTGTTTTTGCCGCGGGCCTCCCCCATGCCTG